TAACTTCTCCATGCTGGACAGTTTTCTATAATTTACATGTCCCAGCCTATTGTGCCATAACACGGAGGAGTAAGTAGAAGAAGATACTTCATTTACAACGGGGTTGGGTGCACTCGTATTGATTTTATACATACCATCAGTACGATATGCATTACCAAAATACATTTTCTTGAAGGATAATACAGCCTTTCCTCCTTGGAAATCCAGCCTCATGCCTACATCACACAACATGCTTCCAGAGACTAAGTTTTTGGCAATTGAGGGAACGTGTTTCACATCCTTCAATGTGAGAGTCTTTTCCGAAGAAAGAGTCAGCACCACAGTCCCAGTTCCAAGAACAGGAACCACAGAACGATCAGCCATTGATACGTTCTCATTAGTAGCAACATAAGAATAGAACATATCTCTATTGGAGCATACATGACAAGTAGCACCTGTATCTAACCACCAACTAGAGATGTTGCTTGGAGTTGTTACCTGGAAGAGCATAGCCACACAATCATCAACTTGATTGACATTGTGTGTTGTTTTCTTCTTTGGTGCTTTGCAGTCTTTGGCAAAATGTCCTTGCTTCCCACAGTTAAAGCATTTGCCGCTCCTCTTGAACTCCTTCTGAATGTTCAGGTTCTTCGGATTTTGGTTCTTCTTTCTGTTGAAATACTTCTTTTTCTTGAAAGATAAATTATTACCCTTTTCAGAGTTAGCAGCCACCATGTTAGCAGACGTCTTCTGCTTAGCAATGAGCTCAGTCTTCGTGCGAGTCCGAGTGTCGTCCTCAATCCGAATGAACCTCTTCAAATCAGACAGAGTCACATGTCTTTTCCTTCTTCGAATATCAGTGAAGAATGACATCCAAGATGGAGGAAGCTTGTTGACAATTGCACCAGAAATAAAGGTTTGACAAAGATTGATCTTTTCATCCTTCAGCTTCATAACAAGCTTTTCAAGCTCTTTGACTTGAGGCAAAACCTCAGTATCATCTTCGAACTTCAAGTCCAGAAATTTGTTAATAAGGTGAGATTTGGACAGCTTCTCCTCATCCTTGTATTGGTCCTCCAGAGCATTCCAGATTTCCTTTGCAGAGGGCTTGTTGGTGTAAGCATCTGCTAGATGATCAGCCAGGTAATTAAGGAGATAACTCCTGCAGAAGTGATCATCTTTAGCCCAAGAGGCTTCAGCTTCAGAATCTTCTTCAGAGTTGGGTTTTTCCTCAGAAATCACATAGTAGATTTTCAGGAGTTACATCCCGAAGATCATTTTTCGACGCCATGCGTTGAAGTTAGAACCGTCAAAGTTCTCTAACTTAAGACAGTCCACTCCAAGAATCCTCGTAGGATCCATGGTAGATCAAAATAATGCTTTAAGATTGTTGACGCCTGTAGTTAAAACTGGAATAATACAGATATATATTATAGAATAGCTAGTGCTCATAGGAACAGTGCCTAGACCAAGAAGGTCTGATAGTACGAGGAGATCTTTGCCTGATAGATCGAGGAGATCTTTGCCTGATAGATCAAGGAGATCTTTGCCTTATAGATCGAGGAGATCTTGACAGTACTGGGTTGGTGCACACCAGAGTACTGGACTGCTGTTCCTGGAAGCAATTTGATCTTGGGATCCTTGTACCGGAGTAGGCCAAATAATGCTTTAAGCACAGCGTTTTACAAACGCACAACAGCTGAGTTGAAATTTTAAATCACTGCCCTTCAGTTTTCTGTTCAGATTTTTGCTGTTATATATCTGTATTATTCCAGTTTTAACTACAGGCGCCAACAATATTTATAGCAGATTTCAGTTTACCTTAGATTCTGAGGAAACGGGCTTGTTTTAAGGCACAAGTTGAGTACTGTGTTCCCATCTCCATCAGTTTCTCTGGTGTCAGCTCCTGCCTGAAGAAGCAATTTTGCCAGAGGCTCATCTCCAATCTGTGACCATAAAATACCAAAACAAATGTATTATCTTCAGCTGGGTCAGTAGACCCTAGAGTAACCCCAAAATTGGATTAAAACCGAGCCCAACCCCAAAATAAATGAGAACGAAGTAAAGGCAATAAACAAATGGATTACATTAATCTTGATTTTTACTCATTCAACACCTTTTCATTATCAAATGCCCTAACTTACCACTTTTTTCAGAAAAAGAACGATCTTTACGTCAATTGACAACTAAAATCAAAAGAAATCGAATAAAAAGTCACATACTGGTAGAAGTTTGACCTAGGGCGATCCTTTCCCCTTCTTCAAAGAGCCCTTCGTCTTCCTCCTCTTCTTCGCCGTTGATCCTCGCCGGAACCGCCATTTTCGCCACCTACCGAGCTTGCGATTGAGACTGACAAACGAGAATAAATTGGGTTATGCTAGGACTCGTATTTGGGCCCATTTAGGGTTGGGCTTTGATGGTGTACTTCAGTCTTTTTTTCTTGTATTTATAGATTCTAGATAGATAGATGGGCCCGCGTAGAGTGTACGCGGACCTTTTTTGAATAAACCCCTCGCGTAAAATATACGCGACATTTCACTAAACAAACCCTGAAAGAACTTAATAAGTGTCTACCCCACTGCCGGACTATTTCACACGTATAACCCCCTACCAAATAAAGTATTTCATTTTTAAAAAAAAAATTCCAAGTAGGTTAACGTATATGAAGTAGATGGGCCATTTTGGTTTTATCTATATTAGTCCCTTAGATCTTTAGCATTTTGAAATTAGACCCTTGGAATATAAAAATTCCTATATGGTCTCCCAATCTTAGAACATGTCACTGTTTGCCTTTAATTGGATAGATTAATTCGAAATAATTTATAAGAATCGGTGTACTTAATAGGAATTCCAATACTTAGAAGGAGAAATTTCAAAATACTAAAGACATAAGGGATAAATAGCTAAAGAAAAATAATTTACTTTTAGGGGGTTGTATGTAAAATAGCCTGGTGCAGTTAGGGCTGAGCATGGTTCGGTCCAAACCGAAAAAACCGACCGAACCGACCCAAACCGACCCGAAAAAATCGGTTTTATGAGTAGGGCGGTTCGGGTCGGTTTGAAAACTTTTCAACCCGAACCGACCCGAACAGACAGAATATAGTGCAATACTACTCATTCTGATTTCAAACACTACCCGATCCGTCCCCAAATAGTCAAAGACTCAAACTTTAAACTCATTTTCTGGATTATTATGGGTTAAAAACAATATCATTATATCAATGTTTAATGCTTCATAATCTCCTACTTTGTTGATATTTTTTCTTTAACACAGATTGTTGTTTGATAAGAAGTTTGATAAAGTTAGAATCGAACAAACCGAACCGAACCGCACCGAACCGACTTGCAACCGTTCGGTTCGGTTTTGTATTATAGGCGGTTCGGTTCAGTTGTTCAAATTTTGGTAAAAACCAAACCGAACCGACCGTTTGCACACCCTTAGGTGCAGTCACATGCCAGAAATGGGTTCAAGTGACGGCTCGATATTAAATGTTTCCAGGTTTTATTCTGCAATACGACAATGTACAACCCACACAGGTTACATGATATTAAAATGTGCTAAGGTTTTATTTGTAAAGGACAAATTTTCAAAACCAACCCCTTTGGGTTTTTAATTGCAAAAAACGACCGGTTTTAAAAATATTTACAAAAACCGACCTGTTTTCAGCCAAGGACTGAAAACAAGTCGGTTTTTTTAATTTTTTTGAAAAACTTCACGGGAGTTGAACTCCCGTGAAGTTTTTCTCATAACAAAACTTCACGGGAGTTGAACTCCCGTCAAGTTTGGGAAAAAATTTTCAAAAACCGACCCAGTTTCAACCAACTGGGTCGGTTTTTATAAATAAGATTGAAATGAGTTATTTTTTGCAATTAAAAACCCAAAGGGGTCGGTTTTAAAAATTTGTCCTATTTGTAAAAGTTCTTGGTGAGCATAGGACAAATTTTTAAAACCAACATTTTTGATTTTTTATTTGTAAAAAACGACCCATTTTCAAAATATTTGTAAAAACCGACCTGGTTTTAGCCTCAGCGCTGAAACCAGGTCGGTTTTTGGAAAAAAAGTTTCCGAAACTTCACGGGAGTTGAACTCCCGTGAAGTTTCGGAAACTTTTTTCCAAAAACCGACCTGGTTTCAGCGCTGAGGCTGAAACCAGGTCGGTTTTTGCAAATAAAACTGAAATAGGTCGTTTTTTACAAATAAAAAACCAAAAGGGTTGGTTTTGAAAATTTGTCCGGTGAGCATACACTGATGTCCGCGTACAGTAAACGCGGATGTCCCGCGTCTATAAGAGCATCTCCAACAGCTTCCCCAAAATGGAGAAACAAAAGTCATATTCTCCAAATTATTTTTGCTCCAACTCCAACAGCTTCCCCATTTTAATTATTTTTGCTCCAACTCCAACAGCTTCCCCATTTTGAAAAATCGCATTTATTACAATAATAAAGCTTTCCCCAAAAATTTGGAGAATGCTGCAGATTTTACAATAATAAAGCTTTCCCCAAAAATTTGGAGAATGCTGCAGATTTGGGGAAGGCTCCCTATTTTTTTCCCCTCCTTTTCTATTTTGGGGAATGTGATGGGGAATCTGTTGGACCAAAAAATATTTCAACAAGATGGGGAAGGAGATGCTCTAAGGGGGTGTTTGGCAATCTGAAAGTGAATTTAAAATATGTAAGTTACTTTTTTTTGTAAATGACTTTTACATCCATGTCAGCACGCAAGTGAAATACAATGTTTGTTTGAAAAATTAAATTATTATCGAAAGTGCAATGTGAAGATGATGTGGCAAAATAAGATTAATTAGAAAATATAATTAAAATTATTTAATTAAATTAGTTACTTTTTTGTCACTTTCATGTGACTTCACCACTTTTTTAGGGGAAGTCAAAATTGCATTAAATCTTATGTGACAACTTTTTTACATTTCACTTTCATAACCACTTACATGAAAACAAACACCTTAATTGTTAAATAAAAGTAACTTCCTCACTTTCATCTTTCACTTGCATGCAAACAAACACCCCCTAAATACGCCCAAAATGACACGACGCAGCGTCATTCCCTTCGCGCTCTCCTCTTCCCATAGCCCTAATTCCCTTCAGTTGCAAACCCTAGAATCTTCTCTACTTTCTCCAATTTTCAGCGAGAAACCGTGATCGGGTCGTTGATTCTTGCTCTCCAATGCTCGGCCCCATCTACGAGTTTGCCCGCCGTCAAGAAATTTCTCTCTCAGGTTAGATCTATCTCTTTGTTTTAAGAAAATCTAGCGCATTCGAGTCCTAATTGATTTCGAGTAGGTTAATCCTAATTTGAATATCACTGTGAGATCGAGGTAACTCAGAATTCAATAAGTATGCGTGTTCTAATATTCAAGGAACTCGATCATTTATGCTTTTTGGAAAATTTCTTTTTATCAAAATGTGAAAACCAATGTTTTTCTCTATAATATTAATATTAGATGTATCAAGAGTGAAGAGATAGGCTTTAAGATGAGAGAGAGAGAGAGAGAGAGAGAGAGAGAGAGCAGAAGAGTAGGGACTTGGTAATATTAGGTGGATCAAGAGTGAAGATCAAATAGTTCTAATAACCAACGAGGTATACAAGAGAGATGAAGGAGTTACTTTAATAGTTTTTTTAATAATAACCAAATAGGTGAGCAACATAGTAATTTGATTGTACGGTGCATAATAGAAACTATAGATATTGTCGAAAAATTAAGATTAGTGAGGTTAAAAATGCTATAAAGAAAATGAAAAGTGAAAATGTCATAGCAGGACCGGACAATATCCCTATTGATGTTTAGAAATGTCGTGTTGACTAATTTATTTAAGGCTTATTGAGACAAAGAAAATGCCCGATGAATGGAGGATTAGCATTTTGATATTAATATATAACAATAAAGGGGATATACAAACTTATTCAAATTATCGGGGTATTAAATTTATGAGTTATATTATGAAATTTTGGGAGAGGGTAATTGAGCAAAGACTAAGAAAGATGACAAGTGTATTTAAAAATCAATTTGGTTTTATGCCCGAAAAGTCAACTATGGAACCTAATCATATATTGAGACGGTTGATGGGGAGATATTGAGAGAAGAAAAAGGAGCTACATATGATTTTCATTGAGCTAGAAAATGCTTATGATAAAGTGCCTAGAAAAGTAAATGTGGTGAGTTTAAAAAAGAAACATGTATCTGGCATACATATTGATATGATTAAAGATATGTATGATAGGGTAATAACTAGAGTAAGAACAAATGAAGGAGAGACTAAATCGTTTACTATTATCATAGGCTTACATCAAGGGTCGGACATCTTTTTGCATTAGTTATACACTAGCTTATTAGGCATATTCAGGATGAAGTCTTATCAATGTTACATTAAACGCTAGGCGCTTCTAGGCGTCGGACTTGACGCCCAACGTTTAGTCGCCTAGGCGGGCGCCTAAGCGGTTTCTGAGCGTTTTTTTTCTTTCTTCATTTAAGTGGTGGTTGATAAGATTTTGCTGAAGGTCGGAGGAGGTAGTGAAGGTGTTCATATTTGAAGGTTAATGGAGTTTGGAGGACGTGTAGGCTACGACACATAAAATCATAATCAAGGCCTGCAAGGTGTAATCCACGTAAGCAGACAATGCTCACCTAAACGTTCGTAGTATCTAGGTGGGCAGCCTAAATACCGCTTAGGCACTAGGTGCTAGTTAGGCGGCCTAGGTACCGCCTAGGCCTAGGCATACGTCTAAGCGGACTAGGTGGAGGTTTTTTAAAACAGTGAGTCTTATGGTGTATGCTATTTATTGATGATGTAATATTAGTTGACAAGACTAAAATTAGTATAATATCTAAAATGGAGGCAAGCTCTTGAAACTAATGGTTTTAGTATTAGTAGAACAAAACATGAATGTATGAAATGCATATTTAGTAAAACTAAAAAGACAAAAGAGCATATAATACATATTAATGGTCAATAAATATCTAGAAGTAGCCACTTTCGTTATTTACGATCAATCATCCGTCATGATGGTGAGATTGAGATGATGTTGTCCATATAAACAAATTAGGATGGTTAAAATGGAGTAGTACTTCAGGAGTCTTATGTAATCGTAAAATACCTATATAACTAAAGGAAAAGTTCTGTAAATAGTTTTATGAGTAACAATTCTTTATGGATCAAAATGTTGGGCAATTAAAAAATAGCATGTGTAAAAAATGAATGTAGCAGAAATGAGCATGTTACGATGGTCTAGTGGGTGTACATTAAAAGATAGAAAAAAATGAGTACATCCGTTATAAATTAGAGATTGCTCTTATTGAGGATAAAATGAGAGAGATCATTATGCTATGTTTCCCTTACGTTGCATTTGGTTTGACAATGTTGTGCTCATGAAGCTGAGCATTGACAGTGCTGCGGAGAACCCGTAGTGTGTCTGGCAGCATGTGAAAGATTAACTTGCATTAAATCAATAGAGGCAGGATGCTATAGCTACAATAGCAGTGGATATATTTAATATTTGTTTATAAAAACATGTAGATCTTTGTTTAAGCGACACCTTGCTTATTTCTTTACTAGCTAATTTGAGTTCTCCAGATCTAAAATGCTCATCACTTGTCAGGCACGATCAGAGGGGTTGGACTACATCTTCTACATGAATAATTTCTTCAGACTACCTCTAGCTTTTGCCACTGTTTTACTTAAATGTATTTGTTTTTGGTAGAACTCTTTATGTTGTTTCAAAAGAAACTTTCTTGCAATATCTGTATGCTGATAAAGTACTTTGTGAATCATTTAGCAAATGTATTCTTAAGTTTCTGCTGATGTGAAACACATAGGTGGTGCTTTGCCCAAGTTGGAGAGAATCCGTGTCTACTTGGCATAAATTTGGTCCAGGTCAAGAAAGTAGTTTGTACTCTCACTTCTTCATCTTTCTATTAATTATAGACACTTTAGTGATGCAGGTAGGTTTTTAAAGAGGCTATCAATTACAGTGTAGATAAAGACACTCATGGGCCTCTCCTCATGGTATACTTGCAGGGTAATATTTAGAACAAATCCTCTTTATAAGCGCAGGGAGCAGAATTCCTATGGCTTCCCTTTTTGAACCGTAACATCAACTTGGGGACAGCCAGAATAAGCTGTACATATCAGCTTCACGATTCCAGCATGTTAGTAAGTGCTGATAAGAATTTTATTTCAAAGAATACAATCCTCAGGTTGCTATCTAATTAAATATTGTGAAATCCAAGTAGCAAGGACACTATTAATGAAATATCTAGCAGCATGTTAGTCTCAAATGATGCTATGTTTTCAGTGTTTCTGGCATGATTGCGCTGTTTTTAAAAAATATATGCTCGACAAAATGTCATTGACAGAGTTTAATTGTAGTAATTTAAACGATTTATAAAGTTTCTACCATAGAGTAAATTTACTACAGTTTAAATAGGTATCCTCTTTTCTTACATAACAGCAAAGTGTATATAAATTGTAACTCTTGGGTGAATTGAGGTCATGTTACTGCTCTACATACTTTATATAGGAAGACTTTCTTGGCATTGTTTATATCAGTTAAGTCAAATGTTTTATGCAGCATCAAGTAGTTTATGTTTGGTTTTTCTATGTTAATGTAATTTCTAAATTATGATAGTTACTTCGAAGAGTAAAGCTGGATATTATTCATATCGCTTGAGTGCTTTTGTGTTACATTCACCTTGGCCATTTGGCCCCATCTCATTCCTTCTCACCTATCGTCTTCTCCTGTTACTTCTATCTCTAGTCATCTGACTGGTGCTCGTCTGGCCCTATTTTTAATTTATTATTAATCATAAGGAACCACAACCCTTTGCCATGACAGTCAATCACAGGTGTCTTTTGGGACCTAGTTTTTTCAGGCGTTATGACCCCTGACTGAAGTTATGATCATCAAGTGTTGTTGAGACCCTGGGATGCTAGAATATAAGAGGCAAGACTTGATAACTAGGCTGTTACATGTATGAAAGGAAGAGTGGATATAGTATGTGTCTATCAGTAGTGAATGCAGGGCAGGTGAGAAGTTACTATCATATGAGATATCAAATGTTAAGAGGTAAGAAAGTATATGATAAAGGAGAAAAGATGGTACAGAAGATCGATGATTTTTATTCTCGTCACTATGTTTTCCATCTGAAGATGTTTGAGGAATGATGCTTAATCTGTTTATTCTGGAAGGGGAAAAGCATTTAATCATTGATAAAACATGCATGATCCTGGTCGTACGTACTGCAGATTAGGATCTCAACTGGACTTCAACAAGCTCAGTCCAGATTCATGAGATGGAATCCTAATTTGGTGGGCAAGGAGCAGATCCTTGAAAAAGAATTGCCTCCAATCTACTTTAGTTTATTTTATTTTTTTCCTTTTTGTTTACTACACGAGAGACAACTTCTTTGTATAGGGCTCAAATACAAAGATTATGTTGGTCGTCATGCCAAAAGACATTAAGAAATGTGTCCAGTTGGAACTAGTTGTTTCTCACCTTTTATACCTTGATGGCGTTAATGGGTTGGAATCTGACTTGGAACTAGTTGTTTCTCACCTTTTATACCTTGATGGCGTTAATGGGTTGGAATTTGACTGGTTTTGGAAGCATGAGAAGAAATTGTGTAGAAGAAAAGAAGAAACGAGAAATGGTGACAGTGGCAGTGAAAATGATAAAAGCAAGAAAGAAGAAACATGGGAGATGGAGGAATAGGTAGGTAGGGGAGGGAGAGAGCCTGGTCTCTCTTTAAAATTACATGAGACATTGGGAGGAAGAGAAAAAGGTGTGCCTCTACTTATAGCCTATGAAACACCAACACGCGAAACTTGGCCCCGAGTCCGTGTTCGACGCGTGTCGAACGCGGACATGCGTTCGACACGCGTAGGACACACGGTCAACGCCTCTGACACGAGTCAATGCCCACCCCCGACTCGTTCCCGACACGGCTAGGATTCGCGAACAAAAAAGAAAAACTCGAAACCCAAACCCAAACCTTAATTTCTTCACTTACCAGAGTCCCGCCGCCGCCACAATCCCTTCTCTCTCTCTCTCGAGATCGGCTCCCCCCCCCCCCCCCCCCCCCCCCCCCCCCCCCCCCCCCCCCGCCACAATCCCTTCTCTCTCTCTCTCGAGATCGGCTCGTCCTCGCCGACTCGTCCTCGTCCTCGTCGACTCGTCCTCGTCGGCTCGTCGTTGCAAGGTCAGTCTCTCTCTCCCGATCTCTCGATCTCTTCGTCTCTCGCTCCCGATCTCTCGATCTCTTCGTCTCTCTCGACCGATCTCTTCATCTCTCTCTCTCTCTCTCTGATTCTCTTTCTCGATTGATCTCTTCGTCTCTCTCTCTGGATCTCTTCATCTCTCTCTCTCTGATTCTCTTTCTCTCTCTTTCTCTCTGAATCCGTCTCTCTCTTTCTCTCTCTAAATATACATATGAAGATTTTACTATTTTCACGTGAATTTACTGTTAATTAAATTAGGGTTCTATTTAATTAGGGTTATTGTTACATTTTAATTTACTGTTTTCTGTTAATTTACTGTTAATTAATTAGGGTTCCATTAATTGTTGTTAATTAATTAGGGTTCCATTAATTACTGTTAATTAGCATTGGCCGCAAATCTTCTAGGTCAACCTTATTCCTCTTCTTGTTGTGAACGGAATTAGAGTACGTATGGTTTCATTCACTCCTTAAAGAGGAACAAGCTAATCCCGGCACGTGTAGAGGATCTTGTTTATGTTCACACCAACTTTCGTTTACTTTCGCGAAGTTCGGAAGAGTATATGGAAGGGGAATCAAGAATGTGGGATATTGGTGGAGATGCCTTTGACTCATTTCAAGGTGCCGACATTTTAGATGTTGCTGCCCTTTCTCTTGACGAGCCCACGATGGAGGCCGTTATGTTTGAGGAGGATGAAGGAGTTGAAGCCATAGAACGATCTTTTTGATGTTTCAACTTGAGAACTTTATTTTAAGATACGCTTCTGGTTGTAATTTTTATATTTTTGCAATGTTAGTAACTTAATATTTTGTAGCCATGGAACTAGTTGCAACTTGATCTTTATTCTCTTGTAATTTTTATATGTTTGCAATGTTAGACTTGTTAGTAGCTTAGTATTTTGTGTTTGAGGATTACATTTTAGTTTGTTGTTTGAATTTTATAAATTTATCTATATAATAATATTATTATTATTAAAAAAATCTAGTCATGTCCTATTTTTTGGGGTTTTGCCGTGTCCGTGTCGTGTCTGTGTCGCCGTGTCCGTGTCCGTGCTTCATAGCTTATAGCAAGAGTCCAATCTTGGTTTTGTAGAAATTAGCCTCCTCACGTTTGTAGTTTAATCTTTTAATACCGTGAACCAGCTGCTCTTTTGATTGGAGAATATGAACTAATGGCATGCTTTGATGAGTATTCAAAAGTAATGCAATAATTTGATGGGTTAATTTGGATTTGAAGGGCATGATTGCACTGGAATCAAGAGTAGGAAGATGTATTTGTTCCTCTCTTATTAACAAAGATGCTCAAACAGAATAAAGTGAGAACAAGTTGATGTAAAGCAACAATATTAGTTGCCTCACAAGTATGACCTGTTTCAACCAGCAGTAACTTAGTATTAGAAAATTTTACTCGTTTCTTACACAAGCTTAACCGTGTGTTTCTTAGCCTTGTGTTTATCAAAAGAAGATGTCACCTTTTTACATTTTTAAACTTGGGCTTTTTAGTATTAAAAACACAACAGAATCCTTACCACTTTGGGGAATGGATGGGTTCACAACAACGACGAAATAAGAAAAATATACAAATAATGTTTATGTTCTTTACATTCTTGAGAAAGTTGAATCCCAAGAAAATAGAAAGATGCCTGGAATGGGATTGTGAGTTAAGAATTAAGGAAAGTAAAACGTGTTCACTATGTTGCAATTGCATTTGAGTCATCCTTTGAGCATTTCTGTAGACTGAACATTTTATAGTAAGATCCATTGTTTCCCTTTGCAAGGAGGGACTCATGGGTCCCCTTCTCCACAATTTCCCCATTCTCCAATACTGCAATGAGGTCACAATTCATGATGGTGCCGAGGCGGTGTGCAATAACTATGGATGTCCTTCCCACCATTACATGCTTCATTGTCTGCTGCACTGTCTTCTCTGACTGGACATCAAGTGCACTAGTTGCTTCATCTAGTAGCAATATTGCAGGGTTCTTTAGTATTGCCCTTGCAATTGCTATGCGCTGCTTTTGCCCCCCTGATAACTGCCCCCCTTGAACCCCACACCATGTGTCATATCCATCCTTGAGGCTGCTGATAAAATCGTGAGCATTAGCTTTCCTTGCTGCTTCTTCCACCTCCATCTCTGTTACACTCTCTGCACCATATGCAATGTTCTCCCGAATACTCCCCATGAACAATGTTGGTTCTTGTCCAACTAACGCAATGTGTTTCCTTAAGGAGCGGAGATGGTATGACTTTATGTCTCTGCCATCGATCTTAATCATTCCTTGTATCGGGTCATAAAACCGCTCAATGAGCCCAATTATGGTGGACTTACCTGATCCACTCTGCCCAATCAATGCTAGTGATTTTCTGGCTTCAACAGTGAGGGAAAATCTGTTGAAGATTATAGCATTTGGCCTTGTCGGGTATGCAAAGGTGATTTCTATGATATTCACACTTCCTTTTAGTTTCTGAGGACGGAAGCCATTGGGATCTTCAGGCTTGATGCGAGGTATCCGATCAAGCACATTAAAAACGGAGCTGATCATGGAGGCACCCTTGGCAAGGTCAGTTGTCATGCTGCCAGCATCAGCAATGACTTTGCCGGTAGTGAGGAGGATTATAAATGTCTGGAAGAAGGACTTGGAGTTGATGTATCCTTTGAAAATTAGATGGCTCCCATACCTGTTAGGATAACAAAAATCCAATTGTTTATATTGTCGTATGTGTTGGCACTTGCAGTGCATTTGGGTTGGTTTTAGGACAGAAGCTTACCAGAAGGCAAGGGCCCAGGTGCAACGCATGAGACTCTCTGAGATGCCGAGGGAAATTCCTGCAAACCAGGATTGGTGGATTCCCTGTTTGCTGGGGCCTTGCTGAGCTACTTCAAAGAGGCGCAGAATGCGATCTTGGGAGGAAAAGGCGGTGACAGTTCGGATGTTGGATACGGCCTCAGCAGCAAATTTGCTGCTATCTGACTGGGTCTTGGTAGCTTTACTGGATATGCCCTTCAGGAGAACATTGCGAGCATAATAACAGGAAATGATAATAGGCTGGAAAGCAATCATCACGAGGGCCAGACGCCCGGAAATCATCAGACCCATGGTCCATGCAATAGTGACTGATGAGAATATTTGCAGGGGGAAAGCAATCCGATCACCCACTAATGATCTCAGCTGACAGTAAAACAATTTTCATTCTAGAGTTTGTTAGAATTAGATAAATTAAATTAAAGTTATAATGTAAGAAGTGGCTGTTTTTGACAGCTTTTCTGCTGGCAATTTTTGTTTGGTTCCCTCCTTAAATGAAGCCCAAATAATGTCTCTTTTCTGGAAAAAGAATATGAAACGAATAAGTATTCTCATACTAACCACATAAACATCATTGGCCATTCGAGAACAAATCGCTCCAGTCGAGTTCCCCTCCTGATCGAACCAGTTAACTTCAAAAGCCAGTATCTTGGACAACATTTGCTCCCTTACCCGCTTGGTTAGATACTCTCCCATCACCCCAAAGTTGTAGTGCTGCACAGTGTTGACCAATAAGGAGAAGATGGAAAGTAAAACGAAGATGAGTGAGTGGATCCTGGTTTGCCTCTTGATCTCATCATGATCTTTTTGAAAATAGACAGATATCAGACTTCCCAAGGTGAACGCAGCTGATGGCTGTATTCCCCCAAACATTAGTGCACTCAGGCACCCGCAAACTGCATTCCTCCACTCCGGCATGTTCAACATCAACAACCTTCTAAAGGATGGTAGCGAAGAGCAATGGTCCCAATCTCTGGATTCGCTAGGATTCCCTTCCAACATCGGTGAATTGTTGAAAGGCCTATCATAATAAGGAATATTATTTTATTAAGTGTATGAATACATTCTAGAGTTGATAAAGGAAACTGTTGCAAGTTCCGACCAACGTTTGTTTTCTGGTACAACAATCCTTCCTTTTGGGAAGTTTCTGTTCTGAATCATGTGATGGACCACATCATATGGCAGATCATCAAGGAATCTGTTGTAAACACAAATAAGTTTTAATTCGAGTTTCATTGAATCACCACTTGGATTTTTCAGGCGCCAGAGTTTGCGTGGAATAAGGTTCTACCCCAAGTGTCTTCATGATTGTTGATGTTAAGGTGTATTTAGTTAGGAGTTGGAACAACAAATGCTTGCGCAACATCATATTGTTCAAACTCCTACTGATGGAACACTCTTTAGTTAGAATTTTGTTCAACACCCTAGTTTTTTGGCCTATTTTGTTGTTGCAACAATCTTTCAGTGTTGCAACAACATCTAACTAAACAAGCGTTTTGAAATTTGGATATAGTTGGAACAAGATGGGGTTCCAACTACACCTAACCAAATGCATCCTTAGTGTATTATCTTCACGAGTTCACCGTGGATATCTGGATACAAGCAATGGTTCGACATTAATGCATAGATCAACGTATAATATTAGTCTCTGGTAGAAGTATTTGGTCCATGTTTAACTAAATTCAGTATGTAATACTGATTTGTGCAAGCAGTTTGCTGACCTCAGTGAGCTGAATGTTGAGCTTCCGTGGCTTATTCTTTTGATGCTGCTGTCACTAAATGGGGTGGCTGGTGCCATTGCTAATGAATAAGAAGCTGCTCCTCGTGTTTCTCTCACGATTCTTGTCTGTTGCAGATGAACAAGGGACGAATAGAGGCTGTTACCCTTACATACCAGGTCATCGTGGGACCCAGTTTCCACGAGCCTGCCTGCCTGTACCACTGCAATTATGTCAGCACTTTGGACGGTGGATAATCGGTGTGCAATTACAATAGTGGTCCTGCCAACTGAGGCCAGGTTGAGTGCTTGTTGGACTATTCGCTCAGATTCAGCATCCAAAGCACTTGTAGCCTCATCAAGTAAAAGAATCTTTGGTGACTTCAGTATTGCCCTAGCGATTGCTATCCTTTGTTTCTGACCTCCAGACATTTGAATCCCACCCTCGCCTACCTGTATATATCAAAGATATGCCCCTATGTAGGTTATCACAGATAGAACTGAAGGAGTAAGTCAGCAAAATAATTATAGATACATGGAAGCTCTGAGCTTGGAGGATCTAGGAAATTAATGCCTGAAGTAAAAGAATTCTGTCACCTGAGATGTAACATGGTTGGATGACCTAAAATACTCTCTGTTATGTGTAAACTTTGTTCATTACATTAAACATTCTTACTAGATGACCTCTAACTGGAAAAACATAGAACACATAAGTTATAGTTTTATAGCTAAAGTGAAGTTTTCTATGGACACATATTGAACTCGGATTGAAATTTTAGTCAAGGATCAAGTTCTTAGCCCTCTAGGTCACAGAAGGTTTGTATTTGTTGATGGTTGACAGTGAGTTCAGAGCCACTCAGAAAGTGGTGACTATCCATCTTATTAAGTGTATCCCATTTCCACCAGTAGTACACATAAGTTATAGTTTTTATGTTTGACCTGATAGTCTTGCTTGCCATTGAATTATCAAGTTTTATACTTTGGTTGCATTCCATAATTAGGACTTCGAAATGTAGGCAACGTTTTCCTTCTTTATTCTAGTTTTTCGCTATTATTAATATTTCATTTTTCAGCTAATCCTCCTACACCTAAGGGCTTGTTTGGATTGAGGGGAATGAGGGTGAAGGGAAGTTAGGGGAACCATTCACCTCCATTCACCTTGTTTGAGAACACTTAGGAGGTGAAGTTAATTCACCTCCATTCACCTTGGTTCCCCCCCTAATAGTATAAAAATTGTTACCCCCCAAATTGGGGTGTAACCAAGGGGAAGAGAATTCCCTTCCCTTCCCTTCCTTTCCCTTCCCTTCCCTTCACTCAGTTTCCCTTAACTTCCCTTCACCCCCACGAATCCAAACAGGCCCTAAGGTTCCATTATAGCAGTTTGAATTTGGCTATCAGTTGTAAAGGAAATCTAGCTTTTCCTGGTCATGCTTAAGTCCCCTATTGCAATCAAAGTTAATTGTTCTTGAGATGCATCAGCTTCATCTCCCTTTTGAAAATAAACCCACATTTACTGTTTGCGATGACATTGCCATCTATACTGATGGTTCATTTTTGTAATATCTTGTTCTTCGATCTTAAAATTCCATTAAACTCTAATGATATAACACTCATGATAAACTTTAGAACTAGTTATTCTGATGTCAATCATAGATACAAGTGAAGACATAGCATAGTCATTAGAAGATGGACTGAGGATAGAATTTGTGGGTAGAAGTTCTTGGGTTTTGGGTTTATGATTGCCCACACCCAATTAAAGGCATATAAGCAGATAGGGCCCACAGTTGAGAGTTGAAGCAAATTAGTCTTTGATGACTCTCATTTGATGGGAGAAATGTGTCAACAATGTTGGACACCTATCATTTGATGGAATATAATACACCTCAATTGGTTTTCATTTGATGGAATATAGCAATTGATGTTTAAGACTTGAGCACAGGAGATAGTCAGCAGTGTTGCTCTTGTCGTCTAAGCTGCTTTTTAACCTATACCCGATAAATTGGTTTGAAAGTTCGGAAAATAAAATATTTTTTTAAAAGAAAATTATCATCCCGAAGGTTAAATATTTATAATACACCTCCTAAACTGATAAAAAAAATCTATGCAACCTCAATGAAAAAAATTTGAAGAAGTTAAATATGTGCCATCAGCAACTTTGGACCTTGCCTTTTGTGTTCATTTGCGGTAAAATTATACCTTACAGATACGTTTAACTTTTGGGGTTTGTTTGATACCAGGTTTTCCAGAGGAGGTTAGGCGCAAAAGAGAGAGAATCTGAGTATCTGATAGTGGGATAATATCAGCATTTTAAGTTTGTCCTAGACGCCATAGGCATGTCAATAATGAGGACTCATTTTGATTTGTGTACAAGTTATGACTAGTTAAGATAACTAACTTGTGTGTCGTATCCTTGAGGCAGCTGAGAGATGAAGCTGTGGGCATTGGAGGCCTTAGCAGCTGCCACCACCTCCTCCATGGATCCGTCTTCTTTTCCGAGCAGTATGTTCTCCTTGATAGATGTAGCGAATAGCGTTGGCTCTTGGCTCACCAATCCCATCTGCGATCTTAACCATTTGAGGTTAAGCTTTCTGATGTCTGCACCATCTACAAAAACCGCTCCTCTTGCCGGGTCATAGAACCTCTCCAACAATGTGACCACCGTCGACTTGCCTGACCCACTGCTACCGACCAGTGCCACCATCTTCCCAGCCGGAACCTTCAGGTTGAAATCCTTTAAAATTTTGGTCTCAGGCCTAGATGGGTATGAGAACTCTACTCCTCTGAACTCCACTTCTCCTCTAACATCCTCTATAATATCTCCCCCTGTGCACTCTGAGTCAATTTTCGGTACTCTCTTTATAACCTCTGCAATACGTTCCCCAGCTGCGGTCGCTTCTGCAAAATATTTCACATTGGAAAGGCCCGACCCAAATGCCCTGTTTCCATCCATCAAGAACAAGTCATTTTTTTTAGAAGCGTTATATGGTATTCTATTCGGAGTAAACTGCAGATAATCCCGTTCATCTAATTCCTTAGGCCCCGTTTGGCAAAGGGTTAATGAAGAGGGGTTAAAGAGAAGGATTAATGTACTTAGCCCATTTGATAATCCGAAGGACTAAATTATTAACCCGTTAAATAAGTTTTATTTTAGCCCTTATGATCAGTTTTAGTGTTTGGGAATAACAATGATTTTGACTATTTTCTTTATAATTAGAAGGGTTAACTCTTATTCCATCTAAATAGGAGTATTAGTAAACCCCTCATTTTGAGGGGTTAACTCATTTTAACCCCTCTAGAGGGGTTAACTTAACCCTTCTATATTTTTTATGTTTGGCAAATTATACACAAAAAAAAAACACCCCATCAAAAAAAAATGCACACGCACATACACACAATGAACTGAGGTGTTGTAAGAGGTACTAAAATAGTTCATGCGTGATAAGTGCTACCAAAGGTGAAGATGAGGAGGTTTATCTGCAATTTACCCTATTTAACTTCTATTTAAGTACGTAGATAAGTGTCGACGGTTACAGGCCACCGAGAACAATGCAAACTCCTGCCCCATGAATACTACCACCCTGACTACCGTGGTACATGATGAGGTGGCTGCCATACCAAGCCATGAATGCCCAGATCGCAAAGATGATTCCGTTGCTTCCGATCGCAATTCCTTTGAGGAGTCCCTGGTAGACTCCAAGCTCGACAGAGCTGTTAAGAGCTGTGGAGAACTCGGCCATGGTCTTGTTCTCTGCAACGAAGGAGTACACCGTGCGGATGGAGAAGATGGCTTGTTCAGCTATTGTGCCAGCTTTGTTGTACTCTTCCCTAATCCTTTTAGCGAGACCTATCAACATTCTCCCATACATGAGGCCTGGTATTATGAGGAGTACTACTGTAGGAAACGCCACGAGTACCAGTCTCCATTCAATGACGAACCCAACAAGGTAGCAGCCGAAGAATGTAGCAGTGTTTTTTATGAAGTCTGGCAGCTGCAGAATAATCAACAAAACGAGCAAATTTCACCCAAAAATAAAAACCTGAAATTTTCGTTGGAACCCCCTCCTTTATACGTTAAAGAAAAACCTCCTGAACTTTCGGTATTCAAAACCCGTTGAACATGATGGATAGAAGGTCTAAACTATACCTTTATTGGTAAAAGTGAAAAGTGTTTAGGGAAAAATTGCCCAGAACATTTCACGTGCGAAGCACATGACAACTTAAACAAACTGCCGTGAGTCATGGTGTTTTACGAAGTACAAGGAGTTTTGTCCAATTTAGTTCAGGGGAATTTTGTTCAAAACCGCCGCAAAGCTCTGGGGCTATGTGATTACCCACAAAACGACGCTTGAAAGTGCGAGAAAGAAAGGACAGAGAAAGGGAAATTGACCTTTTCACCGAGGACATCTTGGATGACAAGACTGTCACTGGAAACACTGGTGATAACATCTGTGGTGGAAGTCCCTTCAAGGTCGAAGTACTCAATGTCCTGCCTTAGGACAGATTTAAGGTACCGAGCACGTATTCGCGAGGCCTGTCTCTGTCCTGTCCTTGTCCAGCAGTATCCCTCTGCAACCAGCGTCGCCAAGTGTAAGTAAGCACCATGCTCTAAACAAACACACCGGAAACAAAGAATGCCAAAAAGATCGATACCTAAGAAGGAAGCTAGAAATGACCAGCACGCCACGAGGAGAAAGTTCACCACATTCTGTAGCAGAAGAGGAGAATGTCAGCGTGCATATGCACGTATAGATGGACAGTGAAAGGAAGAGAACCAAGGCTAGCTCACCTTATTAACGTCGTGAATTGGAAGCGAGCCTGACGAGGAGAGTCCATTGCCCTTGCCCATATCGTTCATGATCTTGCTCGACATGATGAACATCAAAGCAAAGGAAAACCCGCTCCCCACGGCGCCCATCGCACCGAAGGTCATCAGCCACGCATCGACACTATCAGCACGCATAAATATCAGCCGCATGTCGCTCTTCCTTCCCGTCACGCGGCTGCTTCTGCCGGTTTCCTCCCTACTTTGTGCTTGCTCCTCCATCTCTTTCTTCTTCAGCCACCCCTATCTTTCTCAGTACTCTTGAGGATGTTTTTCTGCTCAAATTCATTCCTCAAAGGTGAGTTGTCTATATATACAGATGTCCAAGAATGCGGGTTTGAACATACCTTACCTCATAAAGTTTTGTCACTCCCGCATGTTTGTCTTCATGCTAATCAAGTTGTAATTTGATCTGTATAGGTACGTCCACTGTGCAAGGAGGAATATTCAAAAAGGCCGTGGTACAGTTTGGTTTTCCATTATCTCTTGGTTTGATTAGGGACGTCCGTACAAAACCCTCACAACTCGTACGATTGCTTCTACTACTCATATTTCCTTGCTTTAAGCAGCACTAAGGCATGCTGTCTATTTTCTAGTCTGATTTTATTAATAGGATTAAAGGAATAGTTTCGGATGGACCCTCGTAGTTCTATTGTTGCAGATAGATTGCCTGAGTGGTTTTTTTTCCCCTGTGTTTTGAGTAGTTTACCCTCCAGGAGGCTATTTGTTAAGATACAGTTTGCTCTTTCTCTCAGGGTAAAAGAATAAATAAATTCATTTAAGAGGTCTATCTGCAACAGTCGAACCACAAGGGGTCTATCTACAATTGGGCAATAGTATAGGGGGTCTATTTGCGAATAAGCCTTTATTACATCCATTATTGGGACTGTACTATTGATTATGCATGAGCCTAAGATGGTGAAAAGGACATGATGCACTTTGAGGAAATGCTCTTGGTTCTAGAAGGACGACTGACCAAATTGATATCTGGTCAGCGTTGTCTGCGTCAAGGGTAGGGGCTCTCAGTAAAAATAGGAGAACCTCGGACAAATTTTCAAAACATACCTATTTTAAAATTTATTCCCAAAAACATATATGTTTCCAACTTAATTTCAAAAACCGACTCAGTTGATTGAAAGTGGGTCGGTTTTTGAAAAAAAAAATTCACAAACTTCACGGGAGTTCAACTTCCGTGAAGTTTTGTTATGAGAAAAAACTTCACGGGAGTTGAACTCCCGTGAAGTTTGTGAACTTTTTTTTTAAAAAAACGACCCAATTTCAGTCAACTGAGTCGGTTTTGAAAATTCCTCCGGAGAACCTCTTCTACTGCTACTGATAAAAGCGTAAATTTATGGTGAAGTGGACATTTTCACACAAGTGAATGCGTTGTATGAAATCTACGGGGGTCTATATGCTCATGTCACGGGGATAGAAGTGTCTGACTAGAGAAAAGAAGCCCTCACAAATCAAGAAAGAACCGCGGCGATGCGCGTGGATTGCGCATTGTTTTGCCGAGTTTGCATCGGTGCCCACGATATTTGTTAAGGGGGTGTTTGTTTCAAATCCTATAATTTTAGGATATGTATTTCACCATGGGATTTGAAATCCATAGATAATTTGTTATGGGTTGGGATTCCTAAAACTTTGTTTTTTTCAACAATATTTTGTGATTTGGAATACTATAATTTGTAATATTTTTGTTTGTTTCAAACTTTATGGAATTTGAAATCCTAAATTTGTCTAACACTTTTGAAATCCACCCCCACATCCCACCCAAAAAAGAGGATTTCACAAATCCTTAAATATAATATTTTTTTATTATTTGGGGATTTTATATTCTAAAATTTGTTTTGAAACAAACAAGTTTTATGGAATTCTAAAACCAAAAAAAAACCCACTTTTTGATCCTAGAATTTGAAATCCCACCCAAATGCCAAATTTTTTTTGAAACAAACACCCCTTAAGAATGTGCATAATGTCTGCTTAATGTGTGCTATTGTTGTTAGCCTGGCTTTGTCTTGATCATGCAGTCTTAATAAATTTGCACAGATACGAAATATCAAGGCAGTTTCCTGTGCCAATTGAAGGTCTTTTGCTTTATGTAAAGCAACATATATATTCTACGTTATCACAGTTCCTGTTACTTTATTTACTTGAATATGATTAGTCTTTTTCGCTTTGTATAATAATGCATTCCACTCTCTGCAGCAGCAGCAGCAGCACTATGGAAGTGGCTCAGAGTACGTGGTTGATGCTAGCGAGGAATTTCGAGGTGTCCACCGGTAATGGGAGAGCTTTTAATTAAGTTGACTCTCGAGTCTATTAACAAAGAGTCTGTATTGTTTCGGCGAGGGGTTTCTCTTTGTATGCAGCATGCGATGCTTCCTGTTTTTGGCGAGAATTGCTACGTAAATGAAAATATAGTTCTAAGTTTGAAAAATATTTTAAGCAGAGTTTTTATCTTAAAAAAAAGATATTGTTGTATAAATAGTGCAGATTTGAGATCATGTAAAGCATATTCAATAAGGACGTGTTAGAGAATATAGCGTAAACACATTTTTTATTATAATTTCAATTTTCATTTTGGTTTTAGAAAAGATAGGCCTCAATATCTAATGCAAATTGAGTAGTTATATACTATGCACTTTGACTTCTGTTTTAATATAACAAAAAAATTATTGGAGAATTTTTTAAAAGAGACTCATTTAGGAAGATAATTAGCAAAATCGACTTCTTTTTTACCACATCATCTAGGCTGGCAAAAAAAGGTTAATTTTGCAAAATATTATGTTTAAAATATACGGGACTACTAGTCTCGTGTAATTAGTAGTCTGTAATTAAGATTAATCTATTTCTTACGATTTAAACGAGACTAAAAGTCATGTTTAAATAGTATAGCAGAGACGCCACCCTAACCTTTCCACAATCCAATGACCTCACCATTCTCCCAATCCAACACGAGAAAAACCTCACAAACCATCAACAACAGCCTCGATCTTCCCATTAATCCTTGATAAATCCTCACCAGCGACCTCAACATTCCCACAGTTCAACACAACCCCACCAAAGATCGCCCTAAATGCTGCCCACAAACCACAGCCGGCTTCATCGCATTCGTCCTTGCCGAAACCCTAACCACCTTCTCCAACCCCAATCTCGACCCGGCAACGGTGCAACCCTCCACATTGGAGACGTCGTGATCTTCCTATTCATCTCCTTTGGTCGAGACGTCGAGATCCTTCTTGAGGAGATTCATCGAGATGAAGGTTTGGATGATGTTGAGGCCGAGGAGCCGAGGAAGCTGAGGGATCTAAAGTTCTGCGAGAGTAGGAGGGATGAGTCATGCCCAATGGAGGAGAACAATGGGTTGAAACTCGTAGCTGCAATCAAAAGAGAAAATAAGGTTTGATTTTTTTTTTTCATAATTGTCAATTGCTAAATACACATGACTACTGGTCTTATGTTATCTAAACATGATATTTTGCAAAATCGACTTCTTTTTGGGCGGTCTTGATGACGTGACCAAAAGAGGTCAATTTTGCTAAATATTCACCAAAATGTTCGATTTTGCTAATTATTTTTTAAAATTAGTCTCTTTCAAAAAATTCTCCAAATTTATTTATTTACTATAATTCGAAAATAGACTACATAGCTTACTATCAATTGTATTAAATTTTATAATATGTAAATGTCTAAATTAACCATGGTGTATAGTAGTCAGATAAAAGAGTAGTCTTGTAATACCCATGTTAATGTGAGGATAAATGAGCTCGAATGGCGTAACGTCCACTGCTACCTCAGGAGCTGCCACCACTTTGCTGAACATCTCTGATTTTAGCCCACCAACACATATATATCCCCTATTGGCTCTGGGTCAGAACTTGCTTTGGTGAGTTTTTCAAAACTTAGTTAAAGATTATTTAAAAAAAAACTAGTTATAGGAGCTGCCACCACTTTTTCTTTTTTAACATTAGTCCCCAAATTATCTTAATGTGTTAGATAATAGTCTTTTTGTTAGGTTTACGTTCAATACCCCTAACCGATCGTTTACTTAACATAATCATATATGGAGAATTACCTAATTACCCTCGCACTCTCTCTCCCCTTCTCCTCCATGTCATCCCACACCGTCCCCTAGGGTTGCATTCGGTCCAAATACAACTTATAAATGATACTTATCATATCCATACCCGCTTACCCATCATGGATACATATATGGTTATGGATAGACCTCGTCAAGAAAAATTCATATCCATATCCGCTAAAATTGAATATGGATATGGATATACATGCGGATATGCATGTAGGAAAAAATGGATATGAGTCGACAAAAGCGTTCTTTAATATGTTCGTTATATCTGAAAGGCTAAGATTAGACATCTTGATCATTAAAATTAATCTCAAATCCATAATCTAACGAATAAAACTATTGTAATTGTATGACGAATATGTATTCGGATATCCAGATATTTCACTACAAAACCATATACGTAACCATATCCTATTAGTCATATATTTGAGTGATCATATTCGTATTCTAACAAATATGATTGCGGATATTTCCTCATATTGGGATACACCTTTAGGGTGCGTTTGGTTGTAAAAAAAATGGGGGATTTTTTTGCTGAAAGCCTGCCAAAACGTTTAGAGACGTTTTTACAATAAAGCCTATCAAAACTGACGTTTTGACAGGCTTTCAGCTGACAAAAACCCTCTTTTTTTTATCAACCAAACGTGCCCTTACCGTCCCCACCTATGGCGGTATTCTTTAAATCCTTTTTCCATTGACTTATCTAATATTTTGGAGATGGACTGGGCTTTTACTAGTTTTGGGCCTAGATTCCAAAGTATTTGGGCTCATACTGGATCAGATCCAAAAAAAATAAAAAATAAAAAAAGTCCCCAATTCCTACCCGAATCTTAAGAATCAAAGCACCAGCCCATTTCCTGTATCCAATGGAGGAAGAAAAAGCTGCAGCGTACTACGACGAGCTCACGCGCAAAGGCGAAGGCGCTGCCAAGTTCAAGCAAGGCCTCGGCTTCTCCTCCTCCTCCTCCTCCGATCCCTTCTCTAGAAAACCCTCGCAGTTTTCCCTCTCCAGCTTCGTTCGCGCCTCAAACTCTAGCTCGACCTCTGCCGAAATCAGCGAGCAAAAAACCTCAGATCTGCCTTCCTCCAGCCCTAAAAGAGACGATCGAGAGGATCGAGCGCGCGTTCTTGGTAGTATCCATGATAAGCTCAGCAGAGGCAACAGGGCGATCGCCGGCCGAAGACAAAGAAAGAGACGATCTTAGGTATTCGTCGAGAAAGAGTAGGGATAGGGATAGAGATAGAGAGAGGAGGAGGAGCCGGAGCAATACGCCTCCTAGGGTTTCTCGGCGCGATCGAGATAGAGGTAGAGAGAGGGATGGGGATCGAGATAGGGATCAGGGTCGGGATCGAGAACGAGATAGTGGCAGAGAGAGGGATCGAGACCGAGGTAGAGGTAGAGACAGGGATAGGGATCGTGGTTTGAAGGAGGGGAAATCAGGAGGTGGTAAGAGTTATAAGGGAGTGGATTATTCGAAGATAATTGAAGGTTACGCTCAAATGGTAAGGTTTTTATTATCTTTTGATTTAAATTTTAGTATTATGCTCAGTCCGTACTAATAAAAAGTTGTCGCATTGTTTGAAGGATGTTGTTATTGGAGCTTAATAATATGTGTAAATTAGAGTGGTTATTAAGAAATAAAAGTGATTTAGAAATTCTTTTCTTTTCACTAAATGCTGACCCTAAGCTAGTGTCAAGAAAATGGCTGTTGCTGTTAATTGGCGATATAACCAATATTATGCATACAGTTCTATGATCTAAATTACATTTGTTTTCTTTTATAGGGTTTATAATTTTTGTTTGTAGCCGATGTGAAATTAAGTAATTGCAGAAGCAGAAATGAATTTACATGCTGAAGTCTCTTTAGCATTGATGCTCTTGAGTAGTTACACTAAAAGATAGGATAAGAAATAAGCGCATTCGTAGTATATTAGAGATTGCTCTCATTGAGGATAAAATGAGAGAGAATCGACTAAGATGGTTTGATCATGTACAATTGAGACCTCTTAGTGCACTGGTTAGGAAAAGTGATAATATCATAGTTAATGGGGGCTAGAAGATCTAGATGTTGACCTAAAAGAATTTGGTTGGAAGCAATTAAGAAGGTTATGATTATAATTAACTTAACGGAGGAGATGTCTTATAATAGAATGGAATGGACAAATAGAATTCATGTAACCGACTCCAAACATTTGGGATAAAGGCTTTGATGCTGCTGCTGTTGTTTATGCTCTTGAGCCATTGAAATGAACGACAGTTATGGATAATCCTCTCCAAGCATTATGGGGTGATTAATCCCAACATTTATTTCTGCAAAGAAGTGTAGTAAACTGGTCCTACCCAAGACGTCTAACTTAAACCTGCATGCGTATGCTGACAATGGATTGTCTTGATAAGTAGTATTGGATGGTAGTTGGAATAGGAAATTTTTTTGCAGATGTTAGAATGATTGGATAGTTGTTAGCTGTCAACGTAGATTTTCTTCATTTCTACAGAAAGGTTGGGATTTTACTTCAAGCTGGTGTTTATTGTAGAAGCCTAACTAGTATATTTTTGTTTCTGCAGGAGCTTTATACTTTAAGATTGATAAATATGGCTCTAGATTTTGATGGTAGGCTCATTTTTATCCACAATTCCTGAATTTCGTGCCAAATAAGAAAGGGGCTATGCTTTGACATATGGTTCTAAGAAGTTTCACTCATTTCTATTGAATCGAGGCTTCTTCATTTAGAGTTTGCTCCATATCACTTTGGCGATAGTTTTTCCAATAGGTTTCACATATTGTGATTCCCATTTAGACCTCATCAGTAATCTCAATGTGGTCATCAGGAGCCTATTGCAATCTATGACTAGTTTTGTCAGTACACTATTGAACCGCTTGGATATCTAAGTGAGGATATAATTTCAGCTGAATATGTTTGGCCTTGTTTTAGTTTGACATCTCTGCGTACCTGCTAGTTTAAGTGTTACCTCTTTTCTCCTTGTTTTACTGGGAAAGACATTTGTTGTCATTTTCTTTATGATTGTGAGTAATTATGATAATATAACTGTTTTCATTACAGATGCCAGCTGAAAGGGTTAAAGCAAAAATGAAGCTTCAGCTCTCACAAACCGGTATCTTACTGTCCTCTTGTTTTTTATATGCAAAAAAAAAAATCTTATCTCTAAAGATTCTGTTAATATATCTCATTTTCCTTTCTCCATTGTGGCATAATATTTTTCTATCTGCATGCATATCCATCTTTTACTGGTGTTCCATTCAAAAGAAATTGTTCTGATCTTTCAGCACTCTTGACCTGTTAATAGATACCTCCGAAGTATGTACTGATTAGAAACTTAACATAGACCTCAGTTGCTTCACTTGTCATTTTATATTCCCATTCTGATTCCCATTCTGGTGCTCATGTTTTATCAATCTTTTTTATGCTTTAAAGTACGTCAAGAGTCCATCAGCATAATGCAGTTCCTGATTGTTAACAACTTTCTTGGTTTGTATCTTTCATCTGTTAGAACTTTAAAAGGTTATTCTACCCATCCTGCTCATTAAGTTTTCCTGAGTCATGATCAGGATGAAGCAAACATGCGATGTTATGTCAGCCAAGTATATTCCAGACTTCTTAATTATCTACATACCATGTTTTTTTTTCTTTTCACTGTGATCTAGTGCTTATGCATTCTGATTATATTATAGAAGTTGGGGGCGGATTCCAGGATAAGTCCAATATTAATAGATGTATATATGTACAGCAATAGTAAAGAGTATCCAGTACTTCTTGTTGTTTAAGCTTAATGTACTTACGTCAAATTGATAATAAACCTGAGTGAGTTAACAACAAATTTGTATATTATATATACGTATTTGTTCAGATACCTGATTCAAAATCTTGTTCTGATAAGTCTGCTGATCATAAGTTTGGACCATATGTTTCTATTAATACTATAATGCAGGATTTATTTTATTGCTTTCTTTGCCGTCTTCAGGAAAAAGCTTTGTACGTTGTACCACCTTGTTGTTTTTTTTTTAACCATTTTCTTTCTGATAGCATGTGCTGTATGTTGTAAGCTTTGGTCTACCAACAGTAAGAAGGTATGTTTCTCTTCTTGTGAATAATGTCATGAATGCTACTTGAATGCAGCTGCGAATGATACAGCTATTGGCACGAGCTCTGCGTGGGAACGTTTTGATTTCAATAAAGATGCCCCTCTTGATGATGATGATGAAGAAACTGAAGGTGAATTTTACTTCAACATTGTTGACATTTTTGTCTTATTTGTCGATTTGTAGACTATAAGAAAATCTCCATTGGAACTAGTCAGCAGGCATTATATGACCTTCCAGTGTTTATTCTCATTTCCTGAGTTGTGAGGTATTCTGTTGGCCTTTTTTTCTGGGTTTACCACAGTAGAATTGAAAATTTCAATATTACATTTTGCAGAATTGTACCTTATACTAGTGTTATCGTCAATGAATCAGTTCATGATTTGCATTCAATATTCCTAGGATTCATCTTATTATATTAGGTTAATTGTGAATAGACCCTCTATAGTATCACCCGATAGCGAATATACCCCTTCTAGAGTTCTAGTTCTATTTGTGCCAGTCTATGTTACTCGGGTACTTCTATAATGAAGCCGTACCCGTACCGGACACATACCCGACACTTTCTCGTACCCAAACTTCATGGACACTTCTTGAATATATGCATGCATTTATTACAACATGTACTCAATTATACGATATATGTGTTAATTTAAAACACTTGTCAAAGACTTCCTGGACGTAGAGCTTACACTTCACATCCGTCTTTTGAAACAATGAGATACGGGTTGGATTCGTTTCAGTCCATAACCAAGTTTAAAACTATATAGTTAATGGGTCGTTTAGATGTCTAGTAAAAAATGAGTAGTTTACAATTCACTATAATCAATATGATAAAAGAAACTCAAAAATATGATCGGAATTTTAATTCTAATGACACATGAAGGGGAAAAATTATTTTATGTACAGTATTAATTCAATATATATGTAGTCGTGTCCCCGTACCCTACATTTTACAGTTTTGCCGTGTCCCATACCCGCACCCGTATCCGTACCAGTACCTGTGCCCGTTTCCATGCAACTTAGGTACCAGTAGACCTCCTGTAGTACTGGCCCAAGTTCTAGTTGTAGTTTTATTAGTGAACTTTTTTGACTCTTTTAAAAGTAAAAAATAATTAGCAATTGGATGTCTATCCTCACCAAGGGGTCTAGCCACCTCCTTAAAATATTTTTAATGATTTTAAGAGTTAAAATTAGGGGTTCTATTCGCAAACATAAAACTATAGTAGGTCTATTTGCAATTGGGTGACGCTACAGGGGGTATGTTCGCAATTAAATATTCTTTCAATTGCTTTAGTTAGCCCAAGACCTTTGAACAAGCCCCGACTCTTCAAGTTTATAACTAACTATTTGTCATGATTTGTGGCCGAGTTCCATTAATATATTTAAACAAGCAATTGCTTGATCAGTTGGAATATTCTGTTTTCTTCCATATCTTTCTGTAGTGCTGAATCTCCTTTTTTACTAGCATCGAAGTATCAATTAGCTTTTCCTGGTGCATATTTTGCTAGAAATTCTTCCTCTTGTGAAGTTGTTGTCCGTAACTATTTTGATTTAGGATAACCATGCCCAATATTCAGTCTAAAGAGTTGTAAACTTGTTGGGTTTACTTCCATTTCATTTTTGTGTTTTCTGCTAACAAACCTAGTAGAAGATGTAATAACTCACATGAAGCTCTTTCTTGCACAACAAATGCAAATTGCTGTCAGTTTTGATATAATAATTCTAGTAATCATGTTAGTGTAAATTTCCCTTTGCTATATTGCCATAAGTACCATCTTAAATTTACCTTTTCTTTTCCCTTCACTCACAATTGATGCAACATCCTTGTACTAATATTCCGTCTGATAACCAGTGGCTGAAGATGACATCTCGGTTGTCAAAAATCTAGGTAGAAGCTTTCGGTTTTCTGCTGTAGAGGTAACAAACCATAACCAATGTAGCATTTTCATGATGATTGGAATCATTTTCTGAAACAAAATTAACCTCTTTGTGCATGAACATTTATTTGTATAGGCAAGACGAGAGAAAGAAGTTCAGGCTGCCCATGACCAAGCAATGTTTGGGGCACCAGTAGCAGCATCTTCACCAGTAAACGATTCTCCTGAACCAGCTAACGAGGCTGAGGAGGATGAGAATGATGCAGCTGTTGGTAATAATGGAAATCATCTCAACAGCAACCCCCTCTTAAGTGACAAGGTAAACCCATCCTTTCTTCCTTCATTTGTTATTGTCAGTACACAATTACATGGGCAATGGTGGAATAAATTATCCTTTTCTATATTCCCCTTATAGGTGCTCTCCCTGCAACAAGGTTCATGGCGAGATAGAGCTCGGAGGATTCAAACTGGATCGTAAAAAAAATTGAGCTAAAATGGGGTTCCTAAAGCCTGACCAATTCTGCCTCAAACTCGGAAGATTTGTGTTTGCACGCTGTGTAGCGTGTATACATCTTATGAAGCATCAATGAAGGGATTCTTCTCAATACAGAGAAAATGGCAGCGAAAGAACTGATCGATAGGAGTAGGATTTTGTTTATTGTGGTTATATTTCCTTTAGCTGTATATTTCGCATGATGCTCTGCTGATAACCGGTGGAAGTGCTTGCATTCTGTATACCTTTGCCGAACTTTAAATCCATAGTTTTTTTATGTTGCTGGTTCTACAGGGCTCAAGGTTTCTGTAAGCCAGCGGTTTTGCTTTGTTCTGTGGGTTGGCTTTTTCATCGTCTCTCTCTCTCTCTCTCTCTCATTTTACTGGCTACTAATATGCTCGGCTTTTAAAGTTTTTGGTTTTAGATCACTAACCGCGACCTCTCAGAGCTTGCAATTACAAATTTGTGGTGCCATGATTGATGCTGTGTTTTATAGGACGCTATTTCGTTATGTAAGAGTTGGTGATGAACATGAGAATATTCTCCATTCCTTTAAGCGTACGTATAATATAATTTAGAGAAACGCCCATATATGATCTGGTTGGGGAAGTTGTATGTTTTGAGGTATGAGTCCTTGTTGCCGTAGGAGGTTTTTTCTCTTAAAAATAATTTAATTCTATTTAAACATGTTAGGGTCTATTTAGGTTCACATTGACTAAATAGGCTACAATTGTTATGCAACCTATTAAACGTGTTAGGGTTTATTTTGCCTCACACGGTCCAGATTTCTTGTACTAAGGTTTATCTAGTCCTACTACATCAACTAACTAAGAAGTCAATTATCTTTTAGGTTTCCTATTCGACTTTCAGTTATAGTTTCTGTATTTCATCCTATGTACATTTTTGACCTATTAGTAAGGGTGCCAAACCGTATCCGTATCCGAGGAAATATCCGTAACCGTATCCGTTAGGATACGAATATGGTTACTCAAATCTATTACCGATAGGATATGATTGCGGATATGGTTTTGTAGTGAAATATCCGTATCTGTATCCGAAAATATCCGAATACATATTGGTAATACTCTTACGATAGTTTCGATTCTTATATTATGGATTTGTGGTTATTTTTGATGATCAAGATGTCTAATCTTAGCTTTTCAATCATAATGAACATATTAACGAACTCTTTTTGTATCACATGACTATATTTTTCTGAATACTATCTAGTTTTCTCATATCCTTTTTGTATCCGTATGCATATTCGTTTATATATCCGCATCTATATCTGTAACCGTATCCGATTTTGACGGATATGGATATGAATTTTTCTTACCGACGTATATCCGTATCCGTATCCGTATCCGAGATGGGTAAGCGTATATGGATATGGTAAGTGCCATATCCGAGCCGTATCTGCCCCGTTAACACCCCTACCTATTAGAAAGTAGTATAGCAATAATTATATATACTTTCCCCTAAAAAAAGTAAAATAAAATCTGACGTCCTGCTAAATTTACACCGCAGCATCACAGCCGCAGTTTCGCGTTACCGAAGCACGCTCGAAGGAGCAAACTGATTGGGTGTGCAATCTCCAATGCCAGCCCACTTGAGACACAAAGGCACTGTTTGGCAACCAAAAAAAGTATCTTATCTAAGAGCTTGTGTCTTATTGACTTGGTCAATAAGCTAGTAGACCTGTTTGGTGACCAAAAATAGGAGGAGATTATTTTGGAGATTGTGTCTTTTGCAAGTAGCTTTTGAAAAGCTATCTCAAGTAGCGTTTGTCTTTGGGAAAGAGCTGTCAATTTTTTGCTTCCCTTTTTGCCCCTAATAATTCTAATTTTATATCAATAATATTGCATGAGCTTTTTAGTCATTTAACAAATTTAAGCTAGTTATACAGCTTCTTTTGCCAAACAGCTCTAGTCAATCAGCTAGCTACACAGCTATCAGCTTTTAGCTATAATTTCACAGCTTTCAGCTAGCTTGACAGCTTTCAGCTATAATCTCCCAGCTTTCAGCTAGTTTTGCCAAACAGAGCCAAAACCAACCAATTGAAAGCCGACAAATAAAATAAGAATCCACTAAAAAAACACAAAAAACAAATAGATAACACCGCTAGCGAGTCTCTCCCCATTCTCACCAAATCCCCCCCCTAAATCTCGCCGCCGCACTTTCCTCCTCTTCCGCCGGCGATCTCGTCTCCATGGCTTCCACCGCCAGCAGATGGCTGAGGCCCGAGGTTCGATCTATTCAACGATTCTTTTCTTGAACTCTCTCTCTCTCTCTTTTTTTGCCCTAAAAATCGCAGCTTGATCTTGTCTTCTTGATTTTTTTTTTTTGGACTTCAGGTTTACCCGCTCTTTGCTGCTACCGGCGTTGCCGTCGGGATCTGTGCGTTCTCGCTCGTTCGACACATCTGCATCAACCCTGAAGTCAGGTAACCTTACCTTTGGATTTGTGAGTTTCAATATTGTTGATCGGTTAGAGTGAAATTAGTTAGTCTCCAACGATGGATCTCGCTCAAGATGATGAAAGACAACTAGAGATTAGATTTCATTCAGTATTTTATTTGTAAGGATTTGTTGCTTCTCTTTGCTGAAGTGTTTTAGTTAATATATTTAGCTAGTAATTGTTATTTAGTTTTACCTGTTAGCTAGGGTACCTAGTTATGTCATTTAGTTCATAGTTTCCTTCAATTGATCGGGATTTCATTCTATAAATAACTATGTACTTTTTCATTTGAGCGGAGGAGAGAAGAATAGTGAAAGCTCTGTTTATGAGTTGCCAGAAGTGTTATTAGGCATGTGAGTTGCGCGGCATGTGAGATGCCCAACTGTGAGTCCCAACATTTGTATCTTTTCTTCCATAGTTTCATAGTAGTCTCTCAAATCATTGAAATTACTGAGAGGTCCCTCAAATCATAACTGTACTTGCAATTTGGTCACTCTAGTTAACTTGCTTTAGATCTTTCATCATTTGTGATACTCCCTAAAGTTTGAGGTGTTTCTTTAATTAGACCTTTCACTGAAATAATCGAGAATTATGGATTACCCATTCCAAGCATTATTTGTTGATCAACTCCAGGAGTTCTTTCTTCAAACAAGTGATTAAATTGTTTCTACCAAGATGTGTAACTTAAACCTAGATGGATGTGTTGACAAGGGTTTGTCTTGATTAATAATATTGGATGGCATTTAGAATAGGGCTCTGAATATTTGAATTGTTTGATAAATTTTTTTGATATCGAGGAGGGTTTTCTTTATTTGTGCTGAAAGATTTGGATTTTTATTTCGAGTTGGCTCTTTTTATTGTAGGAGGCCTCAGTAGTAGATTGATTCCATATATTGCTTTATTTTCTACGTTCTGTGAGAAGTTTCAGCAATTTGGTCCCTCTAGTTGTGTTAGATCTGTCATGGTTTCTCTAATTCTCAAAGATCAGGATGATTTTATTCAAATCACACCGAAATTCAAGAGATTTTGTGAAATTTATCATTTTTTTCTCCAGTGGAATGAAAGGAAGTTGGTGGCTGTCACAAATTGGATTTTAGGAAGAAGTATTTGTAAATTTAACAGCAAGGTTCATATTTTAATTCTTTGTTAATGTTCATTCATAGCATGGAGGTGGCAAGAGAGCTGTGGATTCAGTCTTGGATAAGAGTGAAATTTGTGTGAATTCATTATTCTCCACTCTTGTTTAACCGGTACCCTTTCTAAATAGGTTCCTCTTGCTGAATCACAGATCTTAATGGCATGATGTTGGTGACCAAAGAAGATATATTTTCTTCCCCACCAATTTACCAACCCTAACATCTCAATGGCTTTTTTAAGGATAACTCCAACTATTACTTTATTAAATTCAGTCCATGACTACAACTCATTGTCGTGTTCCTTAACTCATATAGTTTCTTGTTAGCTTCTGTCTTTCTGTCCAATTCAGGAAACCAAAGTTAGAGACCACAGTCTACTATTTACTGCTCAGTTCCTTGATGATTTTTAACTCATATAGTTTCTTGTTAGGTTCTGTCTTTCTGTTCTCCAATTCATGAAGCTAAAGCTGGAGACCGTAGTCTACTGTTTACTGCTCAGTTCCTCTATGACTTGCTTGTGAGTGCATGTGTGCATGCGGTATGTATGGTCATGTGTGCATGTTTTATTGTTGTTTCTTTATGCAGGGTTTCCTTCGGCTTTTGTAGCCGAGTCTCCTGTTTTCTCGTCTCTATCTTTTGTTGCACAAGCACATGCCTTCCTCATCTCTCTCATTTTTACCCATTCAATTTACAAGTGTTTCCTCCCTCTCTGCCATCTCTGTGGATGAGTGTGTACTAGACTTTGTGACATTCACATGATGTTGTATTTGAATTTTTATATACACTCCAATTTTCTGATATTTGATTGACAGTTGAATTCATATGACCCAATAAGTAGAATAAGGACTAGATAGTGAAGGGTTTGTTCACATTGCTTTGGTTACATCATGGCGGACAATCACCTTTGTTGGTTTGTGGAAGCAGAATTTGACCAGGTGAGTAATTTGGGGAATATTGCAAACTGAAATATCCAATAGTTACCGTTGAAATGATGCTAACATACCAGATTGGCGTAAAAGTGACACCCGTTTTGTTAGAATTAATATAAAACTATAATCCTTGATCCTCACCATAACTTCGGAGTTTTGGTGTAATTGTTAGAGGAACTAAATTTAAGTTGGTATCAGAGCAACCTAGGTTCAAATCCCACCGGCCACGAATTAAATACGGATTTTTTAAAAATTGACATAGCTATGTGAGTCCAGGTTTCGACCCATAAAAAAGTATGCTCGACCTGCGCGGGCATGTTAGAATTAATATAAAACTATAATCCTTAATCCTCACCATAACTTCGGAGTTTTAGTGTAATGGTTAGAGGAACTAAATTTAAGTTGTTGAATAACTGATTCAAAATTAGTTATTAGGTTGTTTCCTATTTTTCAGGATAATATGTTAGTAGTGGTTTAGTTGTTAACTTAGTCAATTGTCATGTGTTTTTTGAATTGTTTGTTGCTGATTTCTAGGAGTTTGAGTTGGTGTAAGGTCTATATATTTGGCCATTCTCTCTGTTAGCAAGATATGAATAAATGAAACATTTTCTTTAATAAAACTTATATTCTTGTTTTCTCCTCTTTTTTCCAACACGTTTACCACTTTAGCCTAAAAAGTGATACCGGCAACACTTTGACCAATAAATGACAACTTGATGACACATTTGCCTTTCTGATCGTCGAACCTGATTTCTAAGGGGAAAATTAAGGGATTTTCATATATACCCCTTAGATCTCTCATATTTTCTGATTTACCCAGTCCAAGTTCTAAAATTTGTAAAAAATCCTCTCCCTCCCTTCTCACTATCCTCTTCCCACCAACTCCTCTATTGTTTTCTCCTCGTGATTCTCAACCTCCCATCCTTTCTCCCAACACTTACCCTTCTTCCCATATCCGCACTCTCACCTTCTCATTTTCCTTTTTCTCCAACCCCACTTCTTCTTAACTTCTATAACTTACTCTCTCTTCTCTGTCCTCTCTCTCTAACTCCTCCTCCTCTCTCCCCCCTCCTCTCCCTTGTAATGCTCCAGATAGAATGATTGATTTCTCATGATTGGAAGAGGAGAGGAGAGGAAGATTGAGTTTTTCATGATTGGAGGGTGAAGGGGGAGTGAGCATAGCAAGGAAGGAGAGAGAGTGGGAGAGAGAAAGAGAAGGTTGGGTTTTTGGCAAAATCTCTAATGTTGGGGATTGGGAGTGGACAGGAGCAAGCGAGGGCAAAGAGGAGAGGGAGAGGCGAAGGAGGGAGAGGGAGTGGGAGAGAGGAGGAGGGTAGGGTGGGGTTGAATGGAGGAAATGGTGGAGATGAGAAGGTGAGAGTGAGAATATGGGAAAGGATGTAGGAGTGGGAGAGAGGAGGGTAGGTTGGGGATCTAGAGGAGAAGAGAATAGAGGGAATGGTGGGAAGGAGAAGGAAGGAGATGGTGGGAGGGGATGGTTTTTTTTTAAAACAAATTTCAGAATTTAGGGAGGGGGAGAGAGGGCTTAATCCGAAGAATATGGGAGATTGAGAGGTCTATATGCGAAAATTCCTTAATATTTTGCTTAAAATTTGTCTCTGGCGATCGGAAAGACTACGTGGCTAATTTGTCACTTTTTAGGCTAAATTGTCGTCGGTGTCATTTTTTTAGGCCAAAGTGGTAAAAGTGCGTCATATCGTTTAGACCAATCTGGTATTTTAGCCGTCGAAATAATAGCATGAGCTTGTATTACTATTGGAATGCAGTATGACAAGAACAAGATGTTTTACATAACAAAAGAGAAGCTAAATAAAAAATCTGATGCTTCTAACATTTCAACCCATATAATTTTGTACAGATGTTAACATTTACCACCTATTCATCTGCATCAAACAGGGTAAACAAAGAAGGCAGGGCTGCAGGAGTGCTGGAGAACTTTTCTGAGGGGGAGAGATACGCTGAGCACAGCCTGAGGAAATTTGTACGCAACAAAGCCCCGGAGATCATGCCATCAGTCAATGCCTTCTTCACCAATCCAAAGTGAACTGAAGCCTAACAGCATCTACCATTTCTTTATACGCGAATATTACTAGTGATGTGCGGTTGAGTTGAGGGTGATGCTAGGGCAAACTAGCTTTGAACCATATGATTTGGCTTGTAGTTGTATGAGTGCTAAAATTTACAAATTAATCTGCTTGATGAATAATTTGTACTGAATATTTGTGTGGTTTGCCTATCTTGGAAACTACTCAGTGGGAAATAACATTTTCATCTTTGCTTGTTCGACTCTGTCAATGGCTGAATTTAGTATATCATCCTTCCGATTCCCGATTTAATTTACATCGTCCTGTAGTTTACTCAGTTTGTGGTTCTTTTTTGTTCTTCAACGAAAGTGATTATTCATTGTCCTCAAGCAAGTTTTGTTTTAGATGTGCGCTAGTTTGCAATATACAGTAGGTTCTTTTTCTTGATATATAGTTGTAACGTTAGCATTTTGTAAAATTAGACAATTCGAATTGTTTTCTTTGGATGCAAAGGGTGCTTTTCTTGATAATGGGCAAAATGATCAGATTAGTATATTTTGTAAAGTTTTGGTGATATGTTGGTATATTTTCTTTTAGTTTTGTCAGATTGGTGTATTTTGTTGACTCCGGTGTCATATAAGCCTTAAGTTTGGCCGGAGTTACTGTTCCGGCCAGTGCTGACGGGATTTCTTGCATAAAACCCCCTCATTAAAACCTCATCATACTCCTAACCCCCTCCTCCTCCTCCCCCTCTCCCTCCTCCTCATCCTCTTCAACCTCCCCCTCTCCCTCCTCATCATCATCCTCTTCCTAATCCTCATTAAATTTGGGCTGGGATTACGGGCTTGATGATGAGGAACGCTTATAACATTTGAAGTTTTTACCTGCAACTCTGGAGCAACATAACACTCACAACCCAAAGCATCGACTCGAGCAGGAAGCAATCCCCCCAATCCACAATGCCCCAATCTCAGTTCAAAACCCACATCCAAAATCACATTCCCTGACTAAAACCTATGATGCAAGATCTTTGGGCTACACTCAAAGTGAGAGGAACTAGTTTCTGACAGTAACTAGTTTGCTTCGGTTTGGTAGGAACTAGTTTCTGACAGCTACGATGCAATGATCAATTTATCCGACTGAATATAATAGGTTATCAAATGACTGTATAATTGATAAAATTTTATATAGAAATGTTTTCATATCTGCCCAGTTCCTGACGCAACAAATATTGCACTTATACGAGGTCTGCATGGAGAGATGGTCCTTTCAGTGCAGCTATATATGTCTAGAAATTTTTGCACCCAAACCTTAAACTACCGAAACATCTAACGGTTTGCTGCAAGTAGAAGTGTGTATGATTCTGACCTTTATCTCTCCAGTTTATAGAGTCAATAATGGATCGGGTTTCTTTATATTAGAGGTATGTCATAATTACTTCGTTTTTTTGGTGTTAGTATTAGTAGGAAGAAGAAATCAAGCTCCATCAATCAAAACTCAAATTCGAGGAAATATATATACCTTGAAACAACCTCTTTTCCCTAGTCACATTTCATTCAACCTTCCCCCACAACTTGATTTGGAACAAGAATTTTCTGAATCCATGAAGAATTTAATGGGATTTATTTTAGAGCTATTTTAGTAGAGATATCAGCCATGCAAGAATACAAACGAAGTAAAGATAACGGAGGATGTTAATGTTTCTCCTCTTGAATCTCCTCTTGAATCTTCTCGTTTAAAAGTTAAGAGGGGGTGACGGGGGCTGGCTTTTAGAGTTCTTACCAAGTATCTATGATAGTGGAGTACCGCCGCAAGGCATGAGATGTTAGAGGTTCTAGCTAGAGATTTAATGAGGAGGAGGAAGAGGATGAGGAGGAGGAGGAGGAGGAGGAGGGAGAGGGGGAGGTTGAAGAGGAGGAGGAGGAGGAGGGAGAGGGGGAGGAGGAGGAGGAGGTTAGGAGCATGATGGGTTTTAATGAGGGGATTTTATGTAAGAAATCCCGTCAGCACTGGTCGGAACAGTAACTCCGGCCAAACTTAAGGCCTATATGGCGTCGGAGTCGACAAAATATACCAATCTGACAAAACTAAAAGAAAATATACCACCATGTCACCAAGTCTCTACAAAATATACCAATCTGACCATTTTGCCCTTGATAATATAAAGTATTTGTGGATTGACTTAATTTCGTCAATTAACTATCGTAGATTACTTGCTATGAGATTGTATATGAATTCAAACACGAATATCTCAGCTAATAAAGATATTTGATCCAGCACAAAACATAATCAACCGTTATTTAAATTTTATTTTCATTTATCTTTTTGTTTAGGTACCGCCTTAATCTCTGATCCATGTCGTGGTTACTGCCATCAACTAAACTAATGAGTTGGTAATTCCCATTGAAATTGAAAGATCAACCATAAACCTCATTACGATTAAGTGAGCTGTGGCCTGTAATATTGTATCACACTAAGCCCCTGGATAACGTAATGCATGACGATATGTTGCGTTTTGTTTAAGCTGAGCTGAGTTTATTAATTGATGTATCAACACTGAAGCTGTTTGTTTAGTTCAAGCCCCATTTGAAAATGTGAAACATGCACGTGTCTCGTTCAAGCTCTGAAAGGCAATTATGAGATAAGTGAAGTCATTTTCCTCACCAGCTCTTGATTCTGAATAAATTTTTTTTAAATGATGAAGCGAGCACATGATGCTTTGTTCGGTACGAAAACATTTGCATATATGTAAGACTTCAAGAACTTGTAGCTCTATATATCTATTTATTTATTTTTTAAGAAAAGAACTTGTTACTCTAGTCGACCACTTCAAATTGAAAATTGAAACATCTGATGACCAGTGAATGATTGGTACTCATTAAGTCACCCCAATAGTCCCAAGGAGAAAAATGAAGGCCAAGTGCAGAATAATTTGATTTATGTGCCATTTTAATTTCCATTTTTTTTTTGATCGAGCAATTTGCATTCCATCTTAGAAAGATATAAAAGGCTGTAATAAATATCTCCAAATGTCAAATGTGCAGCATTTGTTCTTCCTCTTTGTGTGAACAAGTAACTATTTCTTCTTATCTTGTGAGAGGATTACCTGCTCCTGAGTTTTTTTCTTCTTCTTCCGGTTGGTAGGTAAAATATCTCTTTAAAGTACGTAAATACCTCACGCTAGCTTCACTTTTGGTTCCTTTTAATTATAAACCAAAAAGTAAGGGTCCCATAAATTCTTTTTGGGAATTAATAAGTGATGTCTTGTAAAATGTAACTTCTTTGTATAGGAGTTTCAACTTCATTAATGCTTACTTGACCTAAAATTCTCTCTTTGAGAGATCTGCTAAGCTAAGAATTTTCTAAAAGTTCAAAAATTAAAATATTTAGAAAATTACTTTATGTCCAACAACAATATCTCCACACTCAAACTAATACCAACTTGCTCTCACAAGACATGACAACGCTATGCTACAGTTCAATTTGCAGCTTGCAGTATGTGTAGAATCTCTTTGTATAAAGTTGCAAAAGGCTTTCACACGAGGTATTTTCCTCTTAATTTCATGAAAAAATTTTATTTATTAGTTTCATTTCATCTTTTTCTATTATTTTACTTGATCTAAAATTTCACTTGGATTATTATCTAAAAGTAGCAACAGTATCATCTAAAAGTTCACCACTTCTACATTTATAAGTTCTAAAAGTTCAATACATGCATATTCTTTTTGCTATTTGGTTGCTTCTAATATGATGAAGCTAAAATAAAAAAAGAGTCATTAATTTACCAAAAGAGTTATAAAGAGAATTGTTTGGCTTGTCAAAAGTATGTCATATTTTAGCTTGGATGCATATATAACATGAGTTCTGATGATATCCTTTTATTTCTCCAATAAAATTTATTGGAATATAAATTCCATCAGAATACCTTTCATGCATTTAAATCTTGTGTTGCCCTTGATTTTTAAGGACTCCTCTTTTATCATCCACAGTTAAAATTGAGGTCTTCAAATATTTCCTGGAACTTGTATTCAATGTATTAGTTATAAAAACTATTTAGGGCCTAATATTGCTTGACTTCATCCATAGAAAGACTGAGACCATTGTTGGTGATTAACCAGCGAATCATCCAGTTTGTTGTGCGCTGCGGAAGCTTCGAGTTCAACACGAACAATAACTCGAGGTAAACCACAACTAATAAGCAAAACACAACCACAGCAAGAACAAGAGATTTACGTGGTTCGGCAAGTTGCCTACGTTCACGGGGCAAGGAAGGGGGAGTTCTTACTATTAGAAATCAAGAGAATACAAATAAAATTACAAATCCCACCGATCAAACCCTAAAATAAAACTCTAGATCTCTCATAACTCTCCCATAATTGGATATAACAATCATCTCTCAAAGACTGCTCAAAATCGTCCTTGCATTACCCTAATCAATCAGGTTTGAGTTATATATAAACCCAAAAACGAACTCGGTCAAAAACCAAAAGACCCAGCCCAAACAGACTGCGGTCGACCGCGGCGGTCGACCGCGCAGGTTCGCGGTCGACCGCGCAGGTTCGCGGTCGACCGCGGACCGCCAGTCTGCCTGGCTGATTCTTTGTTGTTTCCTGTATTTCTTCAATTCTCCACCTCGGCGAATGTTTCTACCAAAACTGAACCGACACCAAATCATCCAATAGTCCCTCAACAAGTCAGGGAACCAAACTAGAGCTGAAACGCGATCTCCCTCCATCTGAATCAACTGATCAAACCGGTTGCATCTGAAAGACTGTCTATGTATCCTCTTGCCCAAGGAATCAAGCCGAACGTAGTTCACCCAAATGGCCTCCAAAGGCCTCAGCACTGAAGGATGTTCAAAAGCTTCAAGCAATAACCAAATTTCACACCTGAAATAACTTTGGTCAACATATCTGCAGGGTTGTCATTCGTGTGGACCTTCTCTAATATGATGTCTCCATCATCCAAAACGTCCCGAACAAAGTAAAATCTGACGTCAATGTGCTTCGTGCGCGCATGATAAACCTGGTTCTTCGCCAAATAGATAGCCGACATGCTATCATAATATATCCGAATGATCTCCTGAGTGATTCCCAAGTTCTCCAATAATCCACGCAACCATAAAGCCTCCTCAATAGCTTCAGTTACTGTCATATACTATGCCTCCGTAGTAGAGAGAGCCACTGTGGACTGAAGCGTGCATCGCCAACATACAGGTGCACCTGCCAATGTAAAAGCATATCCTGAAGTAGACCGGCATTTGTC